CACGTCCCAGCGCTGCCGTCCCCAGCCGGCGCCAGGCCGGGATGCGCCGCGCGCAGCTCGCACGCCCGGGCACTGCTCTCCTGCCCCCTACCTTGGCGTGGGCCTTCGTCTCCGCAAACTTGATCTTGAAGTCGAACATTTCCGGAGGGGGCTGCTGCTGCTTCTCAGCAGAAGCTTCTTGCTGACTCATGAGCTCACGGTTCACATCCTGAGCGCAGAGAGAAGCTCTGATCAGGAGTGTTCAGCTAAAACAGCACCAAGGAGAGTCGCGACCCCACACGCTCTGCAGCACCTCCACATCTGGTGCCCAACATCCCTTTTGGGGACAGGGGCTCCTTGCGCTACCAGGGAATCACAGGATGAAAACGAGGAAGGGAAACACCAGCCTGTCCCAAACCCTCAGATCACAGCCCGTTGCTGTCCTTGTGCACTCAATATCCATTGATTTCATACTGCCAGCAAAGCCAAGGAGAACCACAGGCAGTGCCGGAACAGGCCGGGCCAGCCAGCCCTGCCCAGGCCCTGGCTGCAGCGTAAGAAGCGCGACACCCGCGGGCCTGCAAGGGGGGTTTGCCCTTTACAGCAACAACATCCTACAGCTGTCGCGCTGCCAACGAGCCCCATCTGGACACGGGCAGGAAGGGGACCATGAGGAGCTCGAGCACTCCAGCGTCCGCAGAGAATCCATCAAGGAGCCCCCTCCACCAGGACTCGGCCATCTGTTCCCTGCTGCCTTGGTGTGCCAGGGTCCGTTAGGCGGCACCACGATGCTGGGCCCAGGGCGCTCTTGCTTCCAGGCCCCTCTCCTGCCGCGCTCGCAGCGCGGGGCCGTGTCCCTACCTGCAGGTGTGCAGTCAGCTCCCGGTACTTCTTGATGGTCTGCTGGTAGTCAGCCACGGTCTCCTGCGCCGCCTCCACGCGCTTCTCCGCTTCGCGCACCCGCGCCGTGGCCATGTCCAGCACCACGATGCTGGGCCCAGGGCGCTCTTGCTTCCAGGCCCCTCTCCTGCCGCGCTCGCAGCGCGGGGCCGTGTCCCTACCTGCAGGTGTGCAGTCAGCTCCCGGTACTTCTTGATGGTCTGCTGGTAGTCAGCCACGGTCTCCTGCGCCGCCTCCACGCGCTTCTCCGCTTCGCGCACCCGCGCCGTGGCCATGTCCAGCTGCTCCCGTAACTCCAGCTCGGTCTCCCGGGCGTTTTCCTGCAGCTCGTCGTTCATCTCGTTCATGGCTTCCTGCAGGGGAAGGAGGGCCCCGGGATGCCGTTGCCCCACGGCCAGGGCAGGCGGCAGCGAGCCCGCCCGGCCTCTGCCCCCGCCGCGGCCTCGGGCACCACGTGCCAGGCATCGGCCCGGCCACGTGGGAGCTCCCCAGCCTCCTCCAGGACGCCCAGCTCACCAGGTCTCCAACGGTCTCGCGCAGCTCCCGGACCTTCTCTTCCAGGTCTAGGTTTCTCTCCGTCAGAGTCTCCACCATCTCTTCGGCACCCAAAGCAGCATCGACCTGCAAACACACATTACAGTCCAGCCCAGCTCCCGAAGCGCTGCCAGCAGCAGCTTGGAAGTGCCTTTACACCCCCGCAGGATCTCTGTGACTAGCTGGGGACGTGAGTGACATCCCTCTCCCCAGCCCGAGGTGCCTGCTCAGGCGGGAAGGGCACGGGCTCCCTCCCAGGGTCCATACCCAGCAGGACAGCAAGTGACAACACAGAGCTACCAGCAGCGAGCCCAGCGGCAGCTCAAGCAAAGGCCGTGGCGAAAGAGGGGCTGGGCTCTGGCTCCTGCAGTCGTTACTGCACCTTTGCTGCAGTGTCAGGATGGGATGTTGAACTGTTTCAGGTCAGTGCAAATGATGCTGACCCTTGGCTGAGTCTTTGCAAACTCCCAGGGCTTTCCAGGCTCCCCATCCCACCGTGGACCTGTGAGAGCGGGTACAGGCTCACCACACTTATGTAGAGATGGGCACTTTGGTCTACATATGAACAGGTACCACTTCTGCCAAGAGCCCCCTCTATAAAGCCCAGGCTAACGCTCCCACAGCGGGTGCCCACAGACCTCGTGGTATCAGCACCTGGAAACAGCTCCGTGCCAGGAGCTGGCCCTGGCCTGCCCGACAGCAGCTGCCACGGCTCAGAGCAGCCCCCGTCCCCGCGATGAGCTCACCTGCTCCTTCAGCTCGTCAACCGTTTTCTCCGCCTGCTTCACCTCCTCCTGCAGCTTCTCCCTCTGCTGACGCAGGGACTCCAGCTCCGTGTTTTTCTTCTCCATTTGCTTCTGCAGCTTCACGTGTTCCTGCTTCTCGGAGGCCGACAAGTCCCGCATCCTTAGAGAGAGCAACCAGGCTCAGCGCAGGCACTGCAGCAGCTGAGGCCGTTCCCGTCCCCAACGGCGCTCTGTGTCCCCTGTCCCACAAGCAGGGCCAAGAACCCTCTCTTTGGGTGGCCCCAGCCACAGTGGTGGAACAAGCAGAGCTCGTCCAAGAAGTGACTTTCAAAGGGTCTTTCCAAAGTTTGGGAGTGGGAATACAGAGATCCGCAAGGTGCTCGAGCTGAGCTCATACATTTTAGGGACAAACTACTCTAAAAGCAGGCGGTCTGCAGCTGAACGCAGAGCTGCCCCATCTGCCCCGGGGACGTGGTGTCTGCAGCCTCCCGTCGCGGCGCAGCCGGGCACCGTTCCCCACTGCAGGCACAGCAGGTTCCCGAGACCAACTAGGAACCGTGAGGACGGACATGAGTCAGGGCCTGAAACGGCACCTCTCTCTGAAGGTGTCAGAGCCACTGGAGGGACAGGAGGAGGAGACAGTGGGAAAATGAGGAACAGAGAGCTGAGACGGGAAGAAAAGAATAGTTGTAAATGGGGCAGCCTAAAGCACAGGCAGGAAGAACTAAGTGAACAAAGGAAAATACCACATTTTCAGTCTTTCACAGTGCAAAAAGGGTCAACAGGAGAAAACACAAGGCAGGACACAGCCAAGGCAGGGTGCTCCACCACAGCAGGGAGCCAGGGCTGTGCTCACACGTGTGCAGCGCCCGCTGCAGACACCTCTGTCCACAGAGCATGAGGTGCCTCTGCAGTCAGCTGGGAGGGCTGGGAGTGTCGCACTTTGAACAGTTTCATTATGCATCCCATCCCAAACACACGCTGGTCTGGAAGCCCTTGCAAAGCAGTTTGTGTCCCGTACCAGCAGGGCCTGCTGCACAGCAAGGCCACCTCCTGCTCCTCTCCCCGTCACCCGTCCCTGCCTATGGATCAGGAGCGTCGCTGAGCGGGGCCGGTTCTGCGGTGAGCACGATGGAGCGCGCGACGCGCTGAGCCAGGTCCCCAGGGACACGGGGTGTGACAGGGAGCAAAGCTGCGCTCACCAGAAGGACCTGGACCACTGGGCTAGAGGACACGCAGAAAGGAAAGCCCTTGCCCTTACACAGGGAAAGGCCCCAACCAGTTTGGCCAGGAAACCTCAGGCTGGGATGTGTCTGGAGAATGATCCCACACAGGCTGCTTCCATCAACCTGCAGCATGGAGTCCTGCTGCTTTGGAGAAGCCCAGTGCTGCATGCCCAGAGAAATGAAAGAGGGCACAAACTGCCCCAAATGGCTTGTTCTCCCTCTATACATTGTTCTCCAGGAACAAGGGGCTCTTCTATCACGCCTAAGTCCCTGCAGGCTGAGTCACACAGGGGAGCACACAGAGCTCAGCGGGCCCAAGAGTCATTAGCAGCTTTTACCCCATGTGTGCGGCAGTGCGCTTGGCACTGACACAGGCTGTCACTGCACCGACAAGCTCCATGGAAGGACCTGCATGGGCACCCAGCCCCTCATGCCGCCGCGTGTTTCCTACCTTACAAGGGCTTCCTTGAGCCTCGCGTTTTGCTCTTCTAGCTGTTTGACCTGGTAACTGGACGCTGCTCCATCTGAGCCTGGGGAAAGGAGGCATATTGAGCTGTGCAGAAACAGCAGCTGCTCCCCAGCCCCACCTCGTCGGCACTAAGCGACACTGCAAACACCATTAAGAGGACAGCAGAGTCCCAAAGGGAAACGGATCAGTCCCTCTGCTGCAGCTGAGCTAAGCGAGGCCGGAGCACGATGCCGCTGCTCCGAGATGGAGCGTTAGCTCAGACGAGGAATCGCGGGATCATCTTGCAGCAGAGCTGCGCTCATCGAGCGGCCCATGCACAGCTGCCCCAGCCCCTGCCAGCGGTGAACACAAACCCAGATGAGCTGCCGCTCGTCAGCGAGCTCCGCGTCTCCCCACAGACTCTTCCTTTGCTCCCCACACTGCCTCACGCCCTACGGACTCTTGCCCAAGCCCCATAGGTACAGCAGCTGCTTCTGCCTCTGCAGCGGGGCCTGGCCCCGCAGCCTCCCGAGCTGTCCCGTGCAGGTCCTGCAGCGCCTGCAGGCAGGGCAGGGGCGCAGAGCAGCGCAGGGCTGCACTGGGAGCTGCCGGGAAGCGGCAGCCGCGGCCACGCCACCCGAGCGCACCCTGTCCCACGCCTCTCCCACCTTTCTCTTCTATCTCGTGCTTCAGGATCTCCAGGTCCATCGTGAGATATTCCACCTTCTCCTTGAGCGAGTCCACCTCCTGCTGCAGGGACTCTGCTCGCTCCTCTGCCATCTCCTTGTCCAGGGTTGCCATTTCGATCGCGTCAGCAGTATCTGCCATCTCCTCCATGTAGCGCTCCTTGGCTTCCAAGGCATCTTTGGCTTCCTGCAGTCAAGCACAGAGGGGTGACGTGGAGACGAGCAGTCCCAGCCCCAGTGGCTGCTGCACCGGAGGCTGCAGGCGCTGCGTGCACCAGTGCTCCAGCACCCGCGCAGCACAGCAGGGCCGGGGCTGTGAGCAGCAGTCCCTGTGCTCCAGCCATGCCCAGCGCTCCTCGTCCCGTCTCCGTGCGCCGCCCAGGACAGCCTGGTTCCCTCCTCTTCCTCTCCAGCTGCTCCTCAGCAGGTATTTACGCCCCTTGCTGAGGTCCCAGGGCCCCCTGAGACCTCTCTGAGGACATGCCAAGCTCCAGGGGACCGAGACGTCCGACCTGCAGGCAAGGACAGCTCCGAGACCATCCCCTGGCTCCAGCTGGGTCCCTGCACAGGCGCAGCACAGCCCGCAGTGCCTTCATTAATGCTGCATTTGAACAAAACACGGGCAAGCAGCTCGTTTAAGTGGCAAATACTGGGTGGAGGTGAGCACGCTGCTCTGGTACAGAGCATGCTGCTCTAACACCACATGGAAATGAGCCAGAAGAAAGACGAGCTGCTGCTTCTACAAGGAAAACAGGAAAATAAACTGAACGAAAACCACCTTCCCCCACACAGGAAAATAGGAGAAGTACGGAGGTAAAGCAGCAAACAACAGAAAGCTTTCAAGACACCCAGCTCTCAGGACATCACAAACCTCGGGCCGGCAGCAGCAAGGGCACATGAGCAGCAGCGAGCGCGTTCCTGCCGCCTGCCATCGTGGCAGACCTGCCAAAGTGGGGCCATGTTCTTAAAGCCACAGCTGCTGCAATATATTGATATTTGCAGTAATTTGCCGGAACTGCTCAGTGTTTGGAAGGTGGCACTGGCAGTCTGCGGGCAGCTCCGGCACTCAGAGCACTGGCACACACGCAAGTACAGATCAAACTAGGGAAATGGGGCCGCTGCCACGCTCACATATTTATCTTGCAATGTGAGGGGGTGTGTGACTTGTTCCTCGATTTCATGTGCTTCTGCTAAAGCAAACCGTCCCTCACTGTGACCTAACCAGCACAGGACTGCAACTGCCTCAGTGCAGACACTAATTCTTGGCTCCATCAGTGGCTCCCGCCTCAGAGGCCAAGCCGGGTTGGAAGGGTCCGGCTGTCGAGAAGCCGCCCGGAGCCCAGGATGCACCAAAGCTCTGGCATCTCCATGCGAATGGGCAGAGCCCCCCAAAGGCAGGGGGCTAACGAAGCGCCACGGGAGGGAGGAGGTTGTTCCCTCGTTAGTCAGAAGACAAGATTTGGGAGAGCTCGGAGTTTAATGCCAGCTGGTGATATCTCATCCAGAAGAAAACCATATAATTAGATTTTCAGCAAGTGAATTAGCCCTGGCACCGCCAGGGCAAGCACCAGTGTCCACACCGCACAGCCCCTGGGAGCACTCACCTTTTTGGCCTCCTTTAGACGCTTCTGCAGATCAGCCTGCTGTTCCTGCATTTTGCTTTTCCATTCCTGCACCTGCTCCAGCTGGATCTTGTACTTCTCCAGCTCTTTAAGTTTTGCCTTGTCTTCATTTCGCTTTATCTTCAGAGTCTCCAATTTCTCCTCCAGGTCCCTGACTTGAGCACGCAAGTTCTCCTCCTCCTACAAGGTGATGCCAAGAATTACCAACGGGAGCAGCAAGAGCCTTTGGAGAGAGCTCCAAAAACTTTACTTCCATGCACAGTTAGCAAAACCTTAGAACCTGCCCCAAAACCCAGCCCTTCTGTTGCCATTACTGCTGGGGTCGCTGTTGAAGAGTTTCACTGCGGAGCTGCAGCCATCGAGTCTATCATCCCTTGATTAATCCCTTGATTTTCCCACCCCCCGAATGGACAGGGATGCTCCTCAGCAAACCGTGGCAGCCCGCTCTGCAGAAGGTGCTCAGCGCCTTGCTGCTGGTTTCAGAGGGATCTGGGCTTGTGTTTACAAATACAAATATAAATCAAACTAGACAGCCAAACCCGCCCTTTGACAATATATTTTTTCCCTGCTATTTAGGGTCAGAATGGAGTAGTGGCATGCAAAACCCAGCAGCATTTTTCCCCAATATCCCGTTTCGCCGCCCCGTGCCCGGGCAGCGCTCACGTGCCCGGACGGTACGGCACAGATTTTGACCAAGCCTCTGCAGGTGCCCAGCTGACCCAGGAAACCCGAGCAGATTTGGCCACGTAGGCGGCCACAGCGCTGCGGAGCAGAAGGGCACCTGGTCCCGTGGGCCTGGGGACCCACCAGGGGTTCTGCTCCTAGCTGCTCTTCTCTTTGCCCTCGTGCCCCACATCTCTCACAAGCTCTCATTTTATCTAACTAACACAAAGCAGGACAGAAGTCACGATAAACTATTTTAAAGAACAAAAATGGATTGGCTGTGCCAACAGAGTTGTTAGAAACACCCAGGTTACAGAAAGGCTGGGTGTTGGCAAGGGCCTGCGTGTCTCAGGGCGGGCGGTTTAGGGAGGGCATCTACTGGCTCTGGCCACTCCAGCTCAGCTGACACCAGCGGGTGACAGGGACGACATCCTTACCCCATCCTTGGACCAAGTGGGGACAACCCCTTCCTGTGCCCAACCTGCAGACACCGGCTCTGATGCAGAGCCTTGAACCATGGTCACCTTCACCTGTGGCCTAGGGCCACACTCATCCCATGGGGACCTGGACGGCAGAACATGCATCGAGTTGGGCAGCCTCAGCACCCGAAGGGGCTTCACAGCTTTGGTCCCTCTGTTTGTCCCTATCCAAAGCCCTGCCAAGACCCCCGACTCCCTCTCCCAGGTGCCTGGTGCTTTGACTGCTCTGCCGTTTCCCTTTAGACTGCAGCACTGGGCAGAGCCTGTGAGGGGCCATCCCAGGATGTGCGTGAGGTTCCTTGTCCCCCTTGTGCCCTGTACCCCGTGACCAGGCTGCCCCCAGAGCCCGCGAGCAGCCGCCCCGGGACGTGCGGGTGGTTCCTTGTGCCCCTTGTGCCCCGCACCCCATGACCAGGCTGCCCCCAGAGCCCGCGGCAGC